TTGACTCCTAGATCAGTATTTGTCCCCTATACAACCCTGACTCATTAAGAATTGTTTAGATGATTGGACTTTGAGTCAGAAGACCTTTTCTCTCATTAAAAAATGAAATATGGCATGGGAGAGGAGCTATCCCCAGAGAGCTAAAAAGAGCTGGAATAATTTCTACTAAAGAAGAGTGATTTCATCTAAAATTGATTTTTACAAGGCAGTTTGTTCCCTTTCACAGAGTTTGTTGGTGATTTTTGTTGTGTGGTAATGCTTAAGAGAGAAGAATCATGGGTCCACAGAAAAAGTGTTGACCTTGTAGTCACGTGAACCTTGGGTTTAAATCTTGACTTTGGGCACCTACCACCTGTAGAATTCTGGGAAAAATCATTCAGGTTGAGTCTCAGTTTCCTCATCTGTAAAATCAGAATACCTGTGGTACCTAAATTATAGAGCTGGTACAATAATGTACATTAAGTTTTGCAAACACTAAAGTAGCTTGTGGATGTAAGTGATTATATACCTCTATTATTTTCATTATCATTATTAAAGAGGCAAGGAGTTAAGTAATATTGAATTCTATCTAAGAAAGGTAAGTTTGAGCTCTTTTTGCTGTCCCACCTTTAGTTTCTTTGATCTGTAGGGGATCCTTATCTATGACCTTCATGATAATTTTTAATTTTATGGACATACTTAGCCATGGATATTCAGGAAGTGATTACCCAGTGAATAAAAGATTATGTTTACAGAATATCCTCTGACCCTTCTGCCAACCAAGGTGTGTGTGTGGAATGATGTGGAATTCACTGGTGGTCACTTAATTGGCTAAAAAAGAAATTCATGTATCTTGTTTTATAGTGTTTCCAATTTTTTTTTGCCTTTTATCTTTCAAACCACAGTCATTTCCCAGAATATTCCATCCTCTTAATTTCCCTTTTAAAAACAAGAAAAAAAAGTTAAGCAAAAGCAAGCATAAGGACAACTGAACATAATAACTAATGAAACATTCCACACCTGAACTCTCCTCAACATATACTGGGCAGGAGAAAAAAAAAGGCTTTATTACCTATTCTCCAGGACCAAGATTTTTGAGTATAATTAATCTGAGCCCAGATCCTGTTACTTTTTCCCAATTACAATACGGTAGACATTGTGGATATTCCTGTCCTTTTTTCTGATTTCTTTGCTATGTCTCATTTGTTTAAAAAAAAAAGTCTTCCCAAAATTCATTAGTTTTTCATACTTTGATTTCCTTATAAGATAATATTTAGTCAAACTCCTGTACCAACAATATTTTGATTATTGCCTGATGATTATCTGTTTTCTTTGAACATTTTTATTTCTTTTTCAGCTATAGTCATTATGAATACTTTTTGAATAAGTAGTATCCTTTTTTTTTCTGTGCTAGATGTCCTTTCAGTATATTCCACAATAATCACATAGCTAAGCCAAAGCACATAAAGAGTTTACTGGCTTAACTTTTGCAATTCCAAATTGTTTTCTAGAATACTTAGGTCAATTAACTGCTCCATGAATAGGGTGTTTATTCTTCTTTTTGTCTTATTGAAGTTATGTGATTGAGTATTTCTAAACTTTTTCAATTTTAACAATATGCAGTCTATTAGGTAAAGATAGAATTTCATTCATCTCTATTTTTAATAATATTAGTGACATTTTGATGGTTACTGATAATTTATAATTCTTTTGATATTATTTGGCATATAAAGTATTGGAGAATATATATTAGCATTCTCTATTTTTTGCCAACTTTATATATACCTCTATCTTTAAAACCAGAATTTTAAAGAAATATAGTCCATATTTTCCCCCAGTGGGCATTTTTAAAAAAAAAATTCTTATTGCACTAAATTTCTTTTTGTAATTTTAAAGTATATTATTAAATTATTTATTCTGTGCTTCTGAGATTTTTTATCATTATTTAAGAAGAAATTTTGTAGGGTCAGGAGTGCTAGACTTGGAGTCATTGAACCTAGGTTCAAATCCTACTAAAATTCTTACAAAGTATGTGAATATTGGCAAGTTAATTAACCTATTTGCCTCATCTATAAAATAAAGGTATCATATTTTAGATTATGTTACATTACTTAGACTTTACTTACATTAATACCACTCACCCAAAACAAGCTTTTATAGTTAGACTACAATTATGAAGTGTTTGAATTTTCTGGCAAGTAAGAAGTTTATCAGAGGATCACAAGAATCTTGTTAGAAAATGGGAAATAGAATACTGATCTATTTCTCTTGGTGACTCTAAATAGGAATTTTCCAGTTACCAACTCACTTTACTACTTTAGAGAATACTTCCTGATGTCAATGTATTTCAACAAGTTTTTATGAATAGTATAATGTGTATAGGTATATATAAGCATATGTATATGTATATATATTTCCATAAGAAATAAGTGGAATTATTAGTGATATTCTCTGATAATAGAAAATGGAAATATGTCTGAATTTTTCAAATGTTCTTTTTTCAATATTCTTTGCGATGGAGATTTACCATTGAAAAGAGCAGATAAATGGCCAATAGACAGTCGAAACTGACTATTAAGAGGGGCATAGAAACTGAATATAGTCAGTGATAAGTTGGAGCTAGAAGGAATAATAGTATCATTTCCCCAGGTTACAATACGTATTGCTTTTTTGTGATTAGTAAGTAATAACACACTTTATTTCTGAAGGAGCTTGTAGACATCAGGGATAATGAAATACTTAAGACAATCAAATGTTATCTCTATTTTGAAAGTGGGGAAGAGGATGGAATTTGTATACTAGATGTTGGTAAACTCAACTTTAATTTCTGGGGAAAATGTGGGGCATGTTATTAAAATATGTATGAAACATATTTTAAATAAAGTTTCATTTTCATATGTATTAAAATATGTATGAAACATATTTTAAATAAAGTTTCATTTTCCAACAGATGGAATAGTTTCATTTCAAAGGGGTTCTAATTAACTAACTTATTTTTAATTGATGTGATAAGTCAATTAGTAGATGAGCGACATGCAATGGGTAGAATTTACTTACATTTAACAAAAAATTTGAAAAACTTTCAATGTATCACATTTAGATATTCTCCCTAAAGAGGTTAAAAAAATTGGCATAAACCCAATGTATTCAATCTTCCCATAAAAGCCCTTTCACAAAGAACTCCTTTCTGTACTCACAAAAGACTATATTGTTATAGAAGAAGAAGAACAGGATAGTGACTTGAAGAGGGTGGTTTCTTCTGAAATTAATCTAATGATTATGATGACATTATTATTAGCTGCTAATGCTGCTTATTTCATTTGATAATTTTCAAAATGTTTTTAGTTATACTGTTTGAAATAATCTTGACATTAACTTTTGGGGCAGGCAGGTTTGGTAATATTCACACAGCACACAAAAGCATGCTGGATCACAGAAAATTATATGTTTTAGCCCTGGCTACATAATTTCTGTGTGTTAGAGCCAAAAGTAGAATTCAAGGTCAGTCAACTTCTTCTTCCAACACATAACTGTATATTGCATCTCCACTCATTAGTAGAAGAATTGAAAATATGAGTATAAACAAAGGCAGTAATGATATTGGTATATTTGTTGGTCTAGGTTTATCGATCTAAAGATAGAAAGGATCTCAGAGGTCACCCCTCACATTACAGATGAGGGAAATGAAGCCCAGAAATATTGGCAGTTACTAATTGCAACATAGGTAATAAGATAAGTGTTGAAATTTGAATCTATCTTTTGAAACTATAGCCCATGTTTCTTCTGTTGTAACATGTTTCCATATTGAACAATCCAAGCTGGCTGAAGAGGTGGTATATTGGGTTCAGGAGTATTTTATGGTTCACATAATTTGGCCTAGTATTTCAATCAATTGTATTAGTCTTCTTGGCACCTATCATTCTAAAAGAACCTAGAAACCTCCTAATACTATCCCATCACCAACACCCTCTACATGGAATACTTATGCCTGGGGTATGTTCTAGTTCATGCTTAAATTTAAACATATGAAATATTATATTTACCAATTTGCCTATCTCATTTTTCCAGTAAACATATTTCAGGCAGATATTGCAGTGGGAATGAGATGATCAATATTCCATAACAATGTGTGAAAGGGGAATAGAGCCTGGTGAATGAAAAGATAGTAAAATGGGGTAACCTCTTACCCCTACTAAATAAATCTCTGAATTTGGAAATTTAAGCATCAGTTAATTGGGGAGATTTTAGGTAACATATCTTCCTGAAGTTATATGACAGAATAAATTCATTCCATCTAACAAATTTTATTGAGCAGCTACTATGTGTAGGACACAGTTCAAGAGAGACAAAATTCTATAAGACATGACTTTTGCCCTTACAATGTTTAGAACACACTAGGAGGCACAAATATACATGTGGGAAAGAACACTCAGGTTAAGCAGAGTGTGTTTCCTAATTAACAAGTGTCTGGTATGGATCCTGTAATAATCATTCAAGTAATGGAGGAAATATAAAGGCTGATAATGGAGGGAAAGTTCTACACAGAAGAATGAGAGGAAGTAACTTGGCCCTTAAAACAATAGTAGCATTCTGATAACTGAGAAGATTGGAGAAATGTGAAAATAACATGAGCAAAGGTAGACAGACTGAAAGGTACAAAGCAGTAAAGAAGTCTCAGCTGGGATAGTTTAAAATGTCTTTTTTCTCTATCCCATAACTTCCATGAAGGTCACTATTCCTGCTGTTAGGAGATCGTCATCTTAGGGAAAAAAAAGAAATATTAGGTATGGTGTTAAATGCTGTTCCTGTTGGTACTGAGATTAAGGATGATTTTATAGTTGTACTAGACGTATTTACCTAGATGCATATTTAATCTAAATATCCAAGAAAAATAATCATAACATTTTAGTACGGTTCTTGGCAGATAGGAAGCTCTTCATAATCACTTAGAGAGTGACAGTGACTTTTTTCCCCCAAAAAAAGAATATTTTGAAAGATATTATAGAATGTTAGGGAGCAAAATGAAAACAGTATGTTAAACATCAGAGGAATATTGGATCACAACATCCAACCTTTTCTTCTTTGCTGAAAAGGAAACTGAGACCATAGAAGGAACGTCATTGGCTACTTCTCAATTCATTGTTTCTTCAGGTAGAAGACAGATACAATGGCAAGGGACAATCTCACAGTTGTGGTGGAATTCATTCTTCTGGGATTTTCTGATCTTCCCAAACTCCAAGGATTTCTCTTTGCAATTTTCTTAAGCATCTATATAAGTATATTGACAGGAAATGGTCTCCTCATTGTCATAACCAAGATTGATCCAGCTCTCCAAACACCAATGTATTTTTTCCTTGGGAACTTTTCCTTCTTGGAAATCTGTTACACATCAGTCACTCTCCCTAGAATGCTGGCAGATCTCTGGACCCAGAAGAGAACTATTTCGTTCTTAGCCTGTGCTGTACAAACTTGCTTCCTTTATATCCTGGGAGTGGCAGAGTGCTTGCTCCTGGCTGTGATGGCTTATGACCGTTATGTGGCCATCTGTAAGCCTCTCTACTATCCTCTCATCATGAATCGTCGGGTATGTATCCAACTGGTAATGGCATCCTGGATGATTGGGGTCCCAGTACTGGTAGAGGAGACATATCAGATTTTCTGTCTGAACTTTTGTGGTCCAAACAAATTAAATCACATTTTCTGTGATGTCCCACCATTACTGGAGTTGGTCTGTGGGGACACATATAAAAGAGAGATCTCTGTCCATGTTGCTGCATTGGTATTTGTCGTAACTCCCTTTCTGTTGATACTCTCATCCTATGTCAAAATCATAACCACCATCCTGAGACTCCCTTCGACCTCAGGGAGATCCAAAGCATTTTCCACCTGCTTCTCTCACCTTATGGTTGTGGGATTATTCTACGGGTCTGGAAGTGTTGTGTATTTGCGGCCAAAATCCAATCACTCAGCAGGATCAGTAAAAGTGTTTGCTCTTTTCTATACCACTGTGACCCCAATGTTCAACCCCTTGATATATAGCCTGAGAAATAAGGATGTTATTGCTTCAGTGAGAAAACTATTTCCTAAGTAAATCAGGTCATAGAGCCATGAGCAAAAAGCAAAATATATAAACTTTGGTTTTCTTCTACTTGATTCCACAATTCTTACAAAAAATACACATCTGATCATTTTTTTCCATTTCAATGAAAATGTACGTAAATGAGAGCCAATCAAGAGATTATACTTGAAAATACAAGACATCTGCCTAAAGTTTCTATTTTTTTTTTACTAGATTGTGAAAGAGCTGAACAAATTGCTATTGCTGAAATTCTGGCAAATATCAACAGATACCCTGAGTCCAATCATATTATGATTTCTACTACTTTCCTAATATCACGTCAACTTACCCCTTATAAAAAAAAGGTCAATTTAACTGTGTTTGAGAGAGAGAGAGAGACAGACAGACAGGGATACAGACAGAGAGACAGAGATTCAGCCAGATATGTAGGCAGAAACAAAGAATGACAGGGTTAGAAAAATTAAAAAAAAATAGAGATAGCGAGAAAGGGAACAGAAATAGAAAGATTTATTTGCTTACTAGAGTAAATAAAGGAATCTTGAAGATTTTAAAATTTTATATGCTTTCACCATAGTGCTAGTTAGTTGTCTTATTAGCCTAATTATGCTCTTTTAGAGCAAATCACTCTATCTCTTCATTTAAATGTTCTCTTTCCACATGGTTTAAAATATTCTGAAATAGAGGAAAGGTTTGCCTCCTGTAAGTGTATTCTGGATCTCTTGACAGTCTATAAAACTCAGAAGACATAGTGTCAAATGAGAAAACATTTTATCCAAATATCAAGAAATAAGAATGAATGGCTCTATGAGTATGATTGATGGCATAATCGTTTCTTCATATTTACAATATAAATTCATTGAATGATAAATTTATAAGATAGTATGCAGGCTATTTACTATAATTTGAACTGGAAAGAACTCCTCCACTGATGATGAAAGTTCCTTTATTCACAACCATGTTCAGTTAGTAGTTCCAGTGGGATCTGTAGTCAAGTGCAACCCCAGGTTGAATTTTCCTTTCTCCTTTTTCCCATTTTCCTTCTAAATAGTTCCTTTTGTTATGAGATTTCTTCTTTATGTCAAGCTTAAAGTTGCTTCTTTGTAATTCTGACCCTTTCTTTATCCATAATACTATCTAGGGTCAATCCAAATGCATCCATAACCCTCTGTCCCTCATGTATAAGAACTTCAAATTCATGAAAACAACTCTCACTCATCCTTTCAGTCTTCCCTATTTTAACCTCCCCAAGTTTCTTAAATCACTAATTTTCAATTCTATGGCAGAAATTATGCAGTCAAAGCTTTCAATAGCTTTTATTGCCATAACATTTCACTATTGATAGTAAATTTGAAGACAATAAAACTATTTAGATATTTCTCTATCTCATTTGCTTAATAATCACTATCTGCTATCTAATCACTTCTCAAAAAAATCACAAATACTGTACATATTTTTGAACCAAAGACCAAGTTTTAAATGTACTCTAATATTTTATTATTGGCTGAAATTCTAATCTTAATACCTCTTCTGCTTTTCCTGTTGGATCTGCTCATTTCACCCACTACTTGTTAGGACACTGTAAAGACTCTCATTTGGAACCAGATGAGGTGATCTGACTCCTCCAGCACTTGACCTCCTCTTACTAGCTTTGTTTGATGTAAGGTTGCAATCAGAATAAATACCATGTGTTTTAATTTTTTTACAAAAAACGATGTTTGAAATTATAGGCAAGATAGTACTATGAGTTCATTTTAAATATGATTACTTACCTATCTATTTAACTACCTATCTATGCACACATACATACATACACACACAGATATATATATATATGTTTCTAGCAATAGACAGAGATATAGATTGAGAGATAGAAATGGAAATAGAGATAGAGATAAAGAAAGAGATAGGGATAAATTTGCTAAAGTCAAATAAGGAACCAGGAAGCTTTTCAAAATTTCATGTTCCATCACCATAATAGTAATATGGTACTTTGATTATTATTTTAGTTTTTAAAGAGCAAATCAATGTATCTACATATCTAGTTATATAGGTGTATGTGTATGTACATGCATGCAAACATATGTACATACTCACAACATATGTATATGCGTGTATATAAATACACTTACACATAGCATTTGTGTGTATAGGGGTATCCAGGTGGTCCAGTGGACAGAGTGCCAAGCCTGGAGTCAGAAAGACTCATCTTGAGAGTTCAAACCCAGCCTCAGACATTTATCATCTGTGTGACCCTGAACAAGTCACTTAACCCAGTCTGCCTCAGTTTCCTCATCTGTTAAATGAGGTGGAGAAGGAAATATTAAACCACTCCAGTATCTTTGCCAAGAAAGCTCGAATGGGGTCACAGAGAGTTAGATTTGACTCGCCTGAATAACTAATAAATTAAATAAATATATATATATATATATTTATATAGGTATGTGTATATATGTGTATATGTGGGTATATAAAGATATGAATTTTCTTTAAAAGAGCATAGCCATATGTATGCGCCTATATAAAGTCATATATGTGCGTATTTATGTGTATATAAGATATATGTGCGTGTGCATACACACATACATACATATACATACTGAGCTATATACACACTGTTGTTACAACTCTTCCATTGTTCAGTTGTTTCTGACTCTTTGTGACCTCATGGACTTGTCCACAGGGATTTCTTGGCAAAGATACTGGAGTGGTTTGACGTTTCTTTCTCCATTGTGCCCACATTTTACATATGAGGATCTGAGGCAAATGGGGTTTAAGTGATTTGCCCAGGCTCATACAGTTAATAAGTGTCTGAGGTCATATTTCAACTCATTTCTTCCCATCTATAGGCTCAGGGTTCTATACATTTCACCAAGCAGCTAACACTAATATGTATATATGTGCATAATATTTGTATGTGTCAACATGAATGTATATTTAAATGCATATATACATGTGCACACACATTATATGTATTTATAATCATGTATGCACACATACATAAAAACACACAGTGTGCATATAAGCATATATACACTAGATATAATATGTATTATATATAGTATATTACATATATCGAAATTTATATTATATATACACAATGAACTTGTGTATATATATATAGACATACATATACATATACACCTCTCTCTGTATATATGTATATATGTTGGTATGTATATACACACACATATACAAATCTACATGCATACGCATGTGTATGAACACACATAATAAGATATGCAACATATTACACATTCATTTATATCTAGATAGGTGAATTTACTCTGCATAAACTGCACATAATCAAATACACCTAAATTAGGTTTGCATGTACACATAAATGTATATATTCACATAGATTCATACATATATAGTATATTATATGGAGAATACATAGTTAAAATATTTAATACACTCTAAAAACTGTGTGTTATATATTTAGTGTGCTGCACATAAATCATATATAGTATGTCATATATAACACATACAGCAAAATATATACACGTATATGTCTATATGCATGTCTGTATATTTATATGCATATATGAACATATGCATATGTCTTTGCTCATATAACTATGTGTGCATAAGATGATTGTGGTATATTGTTATTGTATATATGTAGACATTTGTGTATATATGAATATTTATTTTGTATTCACATACATTTAACATTATATATGTTTATATATATATATCACTCTATATACCATATACTAAATATATTTCTTATACACATTTGTGTTCCATGTTATACTATAGATATGTGTAGGTATGAAAACATAACATATACTTATGCTAAAATCTACACTATATTTATGTATAGTGCTCATGTATTATATATATATACACACATATATACATATACATACACTTATACACATACACATATTCATACATACACACACATACATACACATACACACGCACACACATACATACACATACATATATACACATATGTCTATACATGTATGCATGTATACACACATACACACAAATATGTACGCAAACATATGCACATACATATATAAACATATATGTATACATACATATATGTATATATACATGTATAAATATATATACATGTATATATGTATATATATATACAATTTCAAATACTATGTGTATATATATGTATATATGTGT